TACTGGAGATAGGGGTTTGTATGCCAGGTTGGGGTTGACCTTTAACTTGTGAATTTCCTGATGGGGGACTGGTCTTTGGATGCAACGGACGCTGACTGGATACAGGTGCCCTCGGGAGATGGTCCTGTCCTAGTGCTGGGGACGGCTCGAGCCTAGGTGGGCGAGGGGGTTGTTTCTGCCTCAGATGTTGGGAGAAACCTGTTGTAGGCCCCGCACGCGCGCCTTGGGGAGACTGGAGGATTGGCCTGGCATAAAGGAAAGGGTTGATCACTCTCTTGATGTTACTTACTAACACCCGGACACCGTAGCTGTTCAGGTGGTAACCGTCTGGTCTGTAGAGGTCTTCTTTCAACGTCCCCCTGTCGGACAAGTTACTGTTATCAGTGACGAGGACATAGTCCGTCTCCTCGGCAACCACCTAGCCTTTAGAAAGGAGTTCACTTGATCTCCCACTTCCTGTAGCTTGCGGTCCTCTCTGGGGAGTATAGAAGAGAAGACTAACGTGGTTTGTGGATACTTAGTGTGGGATGTCTGGATGAGCTTCCTGAAACCTTCGGATACGGCTGTCGGATCCCGTTTGTCCCGGGTGTCGTTCGTTCCGACGTGGAATAGGATGACTTTGGGAGCGGACAAGGTTGATCTCTGGATGTAGTCAGTAGCTTGCGTTATGTTGTATGTTAGTTCCTTTGTCACGCGCTTGGCGGGGTACATGACGTCTGTCTTGATTGCCTTTGTGTTTGAATCTCCCAGTATTAACACGTCGGGCGGCATGACTTTGTTGTGGCGACTTGGCGAGACAGTGGGGCTGGGGTTGGTCTTGTCCTGAATGGGAGGCTGTTTCGCGCCTGTTTTGTGAGCTTGCTCACGGTGTTTCGCACCTGGGTTTGAGACGGGGCTGCTACCGCGGGTTTCATTGTTGTCTGTTTCCAGAACCTGGAACCTGTTGTGCACGTTGACATTGACTAATTCATGTAATAATTTCTCGGCGCGGTCAGACGGCTCTTGTGTTGTTTGTGTTTCAATTGTGTTGGTCTTGCCGCGTGCACTGTTTGATTGTACCTTGTGTACGGCACTAGATAGCTCATCAAACTTCTGTTGAAGCGACTTGACTTCGCTTTCAAGCTCACACTTTACTTTGCCCAAACGCGCAACATCTTCCACAAGTTGCCTTTTCTCTGGAGCAGAAAGTCCGACGCACACATGGCTTCGTTCACAAGACTTTAGTCTGTCCTCAAGTACAGAAAGCCTTTTCAGAATTGACGTCTCTGCAGTTTTCCTGTCTGCGATAGATTCAGCAATACACGATTCCAGCTTATTCACGCTATCTTGTACGTTAGTATAGTCGACCGTGGAGATAGGAGACGTACACTGATTAGCTTTGTCTACTAGGTTCTGTGGTGTACCTTCCGGCAGTTCTTCACCTGAACACATGGTATTGCTGTTACAGTCTAGCAATGATTTGGGAACTGTGTTGCAGCTAGGGCAAGCTTCATCCGTCATGATAGATTGCTCACATGTTGGGCAAAAGGTAGAGTCATCAGTTGCTGGATCTCCGGCTATCCCGGAAACTTCAGATTCTGGCCCCGAGAGTTGGACGTCGTTGATACTCTCGCTACTGCTAACTTTCTCTTTCAATCGAGGGAATTCTTCCGAGAACCACAGTAGATAAGCAGAGCCCTGAACTAACATCTTGTCGGTCGATACGTACACGGTGATACTGACTGAGCAAACAGCTTCTTTTGATTGCGCGTCGTAAAATACCGTTTTAATATGGTGACCGTCTTTTCCCCTGTTGGTGGCCTGAGTTGAGTAGTGTTCTTCACATATTGCAATCCATGAAGTTGCCTGGTTTGGAGGTATAAATATAGTGGTACTCTGCTCGTTTTGGTTCACACTGTAGCCCTTGGAATGACTGCGCGACTTCTTTGTGATTTTGGGAGTAGAGTTTACGGTCCCACTGTTGTCATACAGTTGTCTCCTGGGCTCGTCGGACAAGATAGCGAAAGCTTTGCTTACCTCCCTAAGTCTCGTTTCTGCTTTCTTGTACACCGTAGACTTTTTGCCGTATTTACAGGCCTCTTCGAGAAGCTTGACTTCTTTCTTGTAGGCGTCCACGATGTCGGCGTGAGTTGCAGATGAAGGCACTCCAAGTGTAGAATACAATTGCTCGTGGTCACTGGTGTCCGCCATGGCTTGGGTTCCGCTTGGGTCAGGCTTGGGTCTCACGCGAACTGTAAATTAGTCGAAAAGTCTAACAAATTATGTAAAAAAGCGACCCAAAATAGGTCAAAGTTGAAGACGATACAAAGGGAATGACTTTGGTTGTAAAATATTGACTGAAAAAACTCGGTAAGGACACAATTTAACTTATCTCAGCAGGAGCGTGGTAACGACGTGACCTGCTCCGCCGCCATCTTGAATAAAAAGACAGTCTCTTCGGAACAAGGGAGTCATACGTGTAAGGAAGAAACATGTAGGATTAACACGCAGCTGTTAGTTCATGTTCAGAGTCACGGAAGTACAACTGATGACGACTTCAGGTGGTAACGACTCCTGGCGATGACGACTGGCGGTAACGACTGAGTTCGAAGTGTTCGAGAGGTCATGTCCGTTCTGTGCGCTTGCACAAGACGAGCTACAAATCTGCCTTAGTCACAAGTTCAAATATACAAGGTGATGCAGTCCTGACTGGAGCGATGAACCGCACAGCATCAGTCCCAGGTCCACACGTATGGCTGCCACTGCAGGTTACGCTTCGCTGAACCCAGGTCACGATGAAACATACAGTACTACGAAGCAGTCCGGTCATGCTGGTTCGTCCATTAAACTCGGCGGGGAAAAGTCCAGCGTCCCGCATGCAGTGATCCACGCTGGGATCCCTTAGTCCTACCTCGACAAGTTGTCAACGCGTCTACACAAGGAACGTCCGATAGAACTTCACGTTCGTCCGCGCGGCGGAAGGAACTTCGTGGTGGAACCTACGTTCACCCACACTTGGGTGCAACTACTAGTGGAAATGCTCCTTCATCCACACGGAGGAACCGGTAGAACTTCACGTTCGACTTTCGGAGAAACCTGACGCTCACGGGACTCTAGTGAACTCAAGTTCACCCGCACGGGGGGTTGA